TTCTTTGAAGGGTCCCTGGCTACCATGTTTATCAGGGAACTTAAACTTCTAAAGACTAAACATATCCCTGCATAAAGTGGGCATAATTAGGGAGAAAAGTTCAAACTACATTCCCAGCATGCATTGTAAGACTTGAAAACTACTAAAATGCTTTCTAATACTTACAGAGCAATTCAGAAAGAACATACCAGAGAAATTAAAGACAGCATATAGAAAGGATGAGAATCAATCATGACTTTGGACTACTTCCATAAAACTACCACCATAACTGAAGAGACAAAATAAATACATATATCTTGAATTATATAGTGTTAATGGAGTCCATGAAAACATAGAAAAACTTTGCATCTTTACTAAAAGTGCTTAAATTTGAACATATATGTAAAAGTTAATGATCCAAGCCACTAAAATGTATTTATGTGAATACTGCATGAATCACAAAAATATACTTGGTACTACTGAAATTACTAATTTCATTACAATCTTACATAAAGCCTATACACATTTTTTCATAAATTTCTTTTGACAGATTAGCTTATTTTCTGCTACAGTGCTGCTCCTTTTTTCTCTCTAATTCATCATTCAAAATGATGAAACTGTACTTCCATACCTGCCTTGTTTCTTGGTGAAACAAGACTTCCATACCTGCCTTAAAGAAATGTACAGAAACACATGGGCTGCAATTCTAATCCCATCTCTATTCACTGCAGAAAAGCATAGTCAGGCAAACACAAACTCTGAATTCTCTGGCATCGCTGCAAATGAGTTTTGGTAAGTGTGCAGTCTTTAGGATTTCAACAGAGATTTTCTGTTAACTGATATCAAACGTGAGTATTCACAGCTCTACTTTTTTTGTTTCTCAGAGCAATGCACTGAGCTATGAAATTTCTATTTCAAAGTCATAAAATTATTTTTGCATCTTAAGAACCAGTGGTATTATTTCCCCTGTTTTACAGTTTGGCATATGCTCATCCACCTGGTAAGTTTTTTCAGCTGTTGGGTACATATGAATTCTGCCACACATACTGCCTCCAAGTAGCCCTCATTCCTTACAGAAAGTATAATGGCTATATCTGTCAGTTGAATACTTTTAAAAATACGTCTTTTTTCTCTAAGTACCATTAACTTCATTCTTTCTGCATTTTTTCACACTGGAGGGCAGAGCGTGCTCACTGTTCTTCTGAGCAGCACAGGATTTCCTACATGTCAGAGATGCCTGAACACTTTTATACGCAGGGTCATAGACACCTTTTAGATGGGTACAAATAAGAGACAAAAGAAAACCCGAAAGTTTCTACTACTTACTTTTACACACTTCCATACATTAACTACAGACAACTCTCCACAGACCAAAGCTGTTTGGGAATAAGTGCAATGAAGCAGTCTCAGCCTTTTGCCACCTTCATGTTCTCCATGCTGAGGACAGGACCACGGTGCAGGTCTGTGTGTGGAAAGAACACTCTGGCCCTGCACAACACTGCTGATGTTCTAGTTCACACATACAGGAGACCTTCTCGAGTTTATGCCACTGGTGTATGATTTCTATGAAAATACATAGCAATGGAAGACCTGCACAGGGCAGCAGAGCTCTGTAATGCCATCATTTCACACCTGCATTAGTACACAATTGAACTGGGGCAGAAGGTCAACGACCCAGGCCCAATCATCCAGTTTGAGCAAAACCAAGTCCTTTTCAATATTTTGTCCCTTCCTGCCCAAATCCATTTTGGACTGAGCTCTAACAGTGAGTCATCATTTTCACTCCTCTTCCCTCCTTGTCCCCCAGCATAATAATTCATTTTGCCTTTTGATAAATAGAAAAAAATCATTTCCACATTAGAAAAACTAAAAATGACTGTAAGTGGAGAACAGATTTATGGCATTATTCATGAGTCCCAAATGAATGGAACATTTCAAAACTTTGCTTTAACAGGGTTCATAATGAAACACTGGTGTCAGATTTTGGCTATAATAGCATGAACAGTCCTGACACAATAAGTTCTCATCCAGTGACACATGAACCTTGATATTATCTGACCTACTACTTATTCACAGTGAGATACAACATCTTTCTTTCATGATTATATATCGTAAGAGTCACGGCCATACAGAAGTCACACAAATAAGACAACTCTGAGGACTGGATTTTCCCCAAGCCACCACCATTCACATCATTCATCTTTTAGCTCTTGCCAACAGAAACACATGACTATTTACAGTGGGGGAGAAAGAAAGCCTTCCTGCTGGGCCATATATTCAGCAGTGTTGTAATCTGTCTTCAAACTGCTAAACCAATTCACACTCACTCTTGTCTCTCAGTCAGCAGCTACACAAAAAATTGTTTCAGTACATCAGTTAATAACATCCCTCTGAAGACCTGTGTCTGCTTTCCTAAAATGTAAATGTTTCCTTTTAAAAAGCATGAAGACAACCATTAGTCAGTGTACCAACACAAAGACATGTTGCTGTGCCTGAATCAACTGAGCTAAAACATTTGCATGGCATTTCATAATCAAAGAAACGTAACTCTTTGACAGTCCATTTTATGAAAGTGAATCACTTAAGGTACAGAAGGAGTAAGTTCAGTCAATTTGAAAGCAGCTTCAGATTTTTGATATACTACTCACCTCTGAGCATGACTCTTAGGAAAGCTAAGTGTCCACAACTGCAACTGAAGACAATGAATGCATTGAAAAGAGATCTAATATATCCAGATGCTGCTGTCAGAATGGATGTAGCAATTTTTCTATCATTTATATAAGAAATGCTCAAAAGGACCATTCTGTGGTCATACAGCACATAGACAATAAGCCTCCTTAATTCTTTTTCCTGTGTCTTCAGAAGTATCCTATTTTTATTTCAATGATCCCTTCTAGGCCTGTAAGAATCTATCCGAAGAAAGACCTACTCCAAACCATCTATTGCAGTAACAATCCTACAGTCAAGGTTGTAACCAGATGATCCTTAAGGTCCCGTCCAACCCAAACCATTTTATGATTCTGTGATTTGTCTCTGGGATATTAAGATACCAGATATTTAGATTTCATAATCCAAAACCAAGTACCATAAAACATTGCAACTTAATTCTGAAACCTTAGAGTAGAATTTATTTTTACAGTATGTGTCTCTGGTTACACCCCTCAGCAATTGTAAAGATCCTTGCTGTTACAGTCTTGGAAAGGAAGAGACTGAAAAGACAATGTATGATAATTTACATTATGAATGATAGTTCTTATGAAGTTTATTTAGGATTATATGAGTAACATGAATAGTGTAGAAGTAGTTCATAACACTGAGTCTGGGAGGGAATAGCTATTCATGCTGTGGAACTACAGACTGAGGATTCAGGAGCTTTTGTCTTTGTGCTCATTTTTGCCACGCTCTTTTGCACCATTCTCAATTTTTTTACCCAAATAGACTGTCCTTAATGGAAGGCCTTCTCACTTCAGTTTATGAACAAAATTACTTGGATTCAGACAGAAGTATTACTTTTATGAAGCAAAACTTGCCATGGAGAGCTTTGGGACATTTGTGTTAAGGCTTTGTACATGCTTGGGGCACAGATTATTGCAACAAAATTAAAAAACATCTCTATGCACTATCTAGACACAATACAACTAATCTGGAGGTCAGTTTTCTTTGCTGGTACACTAGCATGTACCAGATCCTCACAAAGAAATTGACAGATCCATCCTCAAGAAGTCTTTCCTTGAAAGACAAAAGACAACTAATCACCATGGCTGGCCTCACGTATTCTTTTCTGCAGGTAAATTACAGAAAAGGGAATAAATGAATTAGTAACCAAACTTGCAACTTTCTGAGTCTGATAAACAGACTTTTTCTATAAAGAAAGAAAGGAATATACCTGTCTGCTTATTTTCCTCTAAGAATTGTAGAAACCAAAAACCACCTCAAGTTTCTGTTATATTGTTCTTCATAAGAATCTAGTAAGTGATTTTCCATCATTATAACATCACATTTCTTTTTCCTTTTTAGTGTGTGTTTGCTATACATATCTGGTCTTTATGTAAGATATAAAGATTGTATAGATATCAAGACCATGACACAACTTGGCAAGTGTTTGAAAGGAAAAACTGAACAATTTTCTGTTTTGTGTGAAAATAATTTTGCAACCTCTTTTTCTGGATAAACAATGCTTCATACTGAAGCATATGTTATTCTCAAATATTATTAGAGATACCTGTGTCAGTGTGTGGAAAGACCAGGAGCAGGGGCATCTACTGTGTGTAGATTAGGCTGTGTGTGAGCTCACCTACCAGGGGGATGCACATTATGTACATATAGATATTTCTGAGTACCAGACCATGACCATGATCAGCCAGAGGGGATAACAAGGTGGCATTGTTTGTGCCTGTGGGAGTACTGAGTGTGTCCATCTGTATTGACCTATGTGCCAGATCTGGCTGTATGCGTTGTATGTGTGTTTGTGTGCCTATTGGGAAGGCATGCTCAGCCTTGCTACGAGCTGGACATGAGCGGAAGGAGCTGTGGCAGCCCCACATCTATCTGCTGGATGTATTACCTTAACTTTCTGAGAATAGGTCCTGTGTGTCAAGTTGAACATATGCATTCTATGTATATAATACTGTGTCACATTGTACTTATAACTAAGCACTTAAAATAACCTGACAATAGAACATGAAGAAAAGCTTTTACTGAAAAATGTTTTTCCCTAAAAATACCAAGGGAAATCTTTCACTTTAACCAGCCCATACTATCTATACACAGAATAAAAAAAATCCCAAACCAATATTTGTGTTAGCATTTGTGGGAAACAAGATGTTTTAAACATACTGCTTTTCTTCACAAAATTCCCTTTTCCCCACTTCACAATTTATAAAGAAAATGCAGAGGCATTCTAAAGAGAGGGACTTGTCTCTTATATTTAATAATGAAAGTATTTACATTACAAATAAGCTAAAACCAGCAACATTTCTTAATGATTTTCTTTTTCCTGTTTTTGTTTCATGTGTACTTACATTCAAGGCAGTTGGTCCTGGAGGTCCTGCATCTCCCTAGTTAAAACAGTAACTAGTAAATAAATCAGCAATCTTTATAGCTACACACATTTAACCTCTGGGCATTTTAGAGGTTATGCACCACTGCAGAAGAAAATTCATTATAATCATCAAACATGCTCTCATTATGAAAATATATACATAAAGCAATATTCTTTTTTAGTAATGTCACAGAAGTACATAGTTCACCACAGGTTAAGTGAGAAAAAAAGTGGCAGGCCTCTGCATAAATGAATCACAGCTCACTGCCCTGGACACTTACAGAAAGCAATCCTTCAAAACATGTTTGCATATGTTAAGTTGCAAGTTACAGCTTACATGCACAAGGTGGCCACGAAGCCAGTGTGACAGCTCACATATGTAAAGACATCTGACTGCATTAAAATGTTCACTGAATTAAATTGCCACGGTATGATTTGCGCTGTGAGACATTCAGGTTCAATCCATGGGAGTAAATCAGAGCACTCGGAGAGCAATTCAGAACACTGAATTTAGGCTCCTGCTCTGAATTCCTTTCAAAATTTGCTGTGAAAAAAAAATACTTGTCTTCCATATTTACAGTTAGTCTTATTCATATTCTTCAACCCTTAACCCTTGCTACACAAATGGCAGCAGTGGGTATTTAACACATGTAGTTAAGGGAATGCATTCAATAATAACAATGCACACTGAAATATACACGCAACTTTACAGACGAAAAAGTACCTTTTCTCCTTTAGGACCAGCCACACCAGGACTACCAGGATCACCTTTTAGTCCCTGGGCAAAGAAGAAAAATGTCTATTTGTTGTCATCTCTGCAAAGCATTGGACAAAATCCTGTATTGCTGTGAATTAGTGTATGTTAATCAACTAAGTCTTTAAATATTATCACACTGTTAGCATTACTATTTTATAATTCTTTATTTTCAGTATTTTGTGAACAGAGAAGCATCTACCAAAGACTGCATGCGTCTTTAACACATAATTAAACATACAAAGCCAAACTATCTACTTGATTGTGCCCCATTATAGAAAGTAGCATGTAGAAATACAAAGTTCCTTTGCAGTGCTAGTAGGTCTGCATCTTGCATGGCCAACAAAGACAAATTCTAGAGAAAGAACTAGTACATTCACTCAACCTCTGATAAAATTGGAATTCTGTTTCAAGTAGCAATGCTGAGCTGGTCTAACCTGGTTCAAACTCTGACCTTCTCCAGGGTTTGAAAACACAATTAGAGAAATAATGGAGTCCTTTATACCTCCCTCCTTAGTTCTCCTTCAGCTGGAGAAGCAGATAATAAATACTGCCTAATCTTACACATTACATACACAGCAATTTCACTATCACAGAATAACACAACAGTTTGGGTTGGGAGACCTTTAAGTCATCTAATCAAACCCCTCTGCAATAAGCAGGGACATCTCCAACTAGATCAGATTGCTCAGAGCCCCATCTAACCTGGCCTTGAATGCTTCCAGGGATGGGGCATCTACCACCTCTCTGGGAAAACTGTTCCAGTGTTCCATCGTCCTTATTGTAAAAAAAATCCTCCTTATATCTAGCCTGAATTTACCCTCTAAAACACCTACAAGACAACTCTTTAGCTCCCAACACATAACCTTTGTTATCTTCTCCTTGCTGCAAAATACATGGAAAAGCAAGAGGTTTTGAAATATGCCCAGCAAATTCAAACAATTCTGCAGTAAGGAATTAACTTCTTTCTGATGCTGGACCAACATACCAGGAACTCATTTTTGTTTAAGCCAAGTCTTGTGCCTTCTCTCTCATCAATGGTTTAAAGGCATGCATCAGCAGAGCAGATACATTTTAAATCAGAGACAGCTCTACAGATTCAAAGATTTTATTCAGAAACCAAATGGCAAATAATACACGACCAAACCATAATAAGATACTCCACAAGAAGGCCACCTTGATTATTACTGTGCAGGTTAAACAGGTGAAGGATAGAAAAGATTCATTTACATCTGAGTTAGGGTTTACTAACTTAAGTTCTTCCCAGCCCCCTTTTTGCCCTTGCAAACTCTCATCCTCAGCATGCAGTAATTGGAAAGACAGAGATAACTGGCACGAAAATGATAAGTAACATCTGTGCCTTGGTGGGTACAGAAACATTAAATCAGTGAGTGTTCTAAATACTGCGTATTTGTGCAACTTCACTTCCTGCTAAAATTACATTAATTCACCATCTGGAAGGAACATCATTTAGAACTATATGAGCATTTAAGTACCCACTTTGGATTAAATTTGTGGTTGTTGTAAATACCCCTGATTTAGCTTTGATTTGTCCTTTATTAAGCTTGCCAAATATGTAATAGTTAAATCAGAAGTAGTTTTGCTGTTTGAACTTAAGAAAATGTAATAGGCAGATGGATTCAAAATCCAAGCCAAAAAATCGCTTTCTTTTTACAATCTGCATATTTATAACATAGTTTTAATATTGTCTCCATTTACTACATTCTACTTTTCACCTCCTTCTGAAAGGCTGCATAAAACACAATCAGTTCATGTTCTAAAAAGCCATTTTAGGGATTTTTCAGGTATGCAAATCGTATGGATCTGGTTCAAAATCAATATTAACAAATCACCAGTGGCGCAATAGGTTTAAGAGTTAGCTCTTAAGCTGTATATTTATGGAAGATAAAGGGGAAAAAGATCTGCAACTCACAAATGGAAAGATATATATATATTTATATGTCTGTGTTTCTCTGCTGAATAGAAATGACAACTGCAGACAAAAGACACTGAACCAAAGCCACACACTGTCAAACTATGGACCTCATTTTTCCTAATTGGTGTGTTTAAAGCTTTTAGTAGTGCTCCTGCAGTGCACCTTGGTAAACTATGCAGTTTGACAGCTACTGCAGAGTTGATGACCACAGAAGTCAACATCACATAAAAAGAACAAGGGGAAACTACATGTTTGACAACATGCCACACAGTCTTCAGCTGGTACTTTCTCTCCTCTGTAAGAACTACAGCTTGGTCTTTTTACAGGTCAGATAAACTTATATTATGGTTCCTCTATGGATATCGAAATGTAAAGTAAGTGTTAGGAAACACATGTATAGGGACAGCTCAAGGCTAATAAAACAACAACATGTGAAATATCAGAAATTATGGACTTTTTTTTTTTAGAAAGACAGGTAACTGTAACATGATTGCTGATCAACAGATAAATTGCTGGAATAAGTATATCACAAATATCAATAAGGGTGTAAACTCAGCAAAATTGAGGCTAACAGTTACTAAACTAGAGGCAAGGGGGTGTTTGCAAGGGAATGGCAATGGTACTTCCTCTGGTGGAAGGACTTTAAAGGAGAAGTTACCATACTGGTTGACACTATTTTTGACAAACATTTAATCAGACTTTTTTGTGATATTAGTTTACTGGAGTCTTTGCCAGCCTACAAACTGAAGTGGATGAGGAGAGAAAACAATTAAAAAGCAGTAACTGTGTTTTAAAGCTTTAAAAAGGACCATGGCTTTACAAATTCATCAAGGGATGTGATTTTATATGTGTCATGTATCTCAGCATTACTAGCACAAAAGGTGACAGGTTTTCTATTTGACGTTTCCCTTTAAACCAGGCCCAGTCTAATACAATGCTTGCTCTGCTCTGGAGCTCCATTGTGAAATAAAAATAACTTTACTTAGTGATGGGGTAAGTATGTTCCTTACCAGGCTGGAGAACATTTTATTAATTCAAAAGAAGTGCCAGGTATAACCAGAACCAGAAAACAAAACAGTTTTTCACTTCCTGTGATTTCAGTCATTTGGAAAAGATCAGAGAGGTCAAACATTTTTAGTGAGAAAAGGGAACAATGCAACACAAAGTCATAGAACAGTTTGGGTTAGAAGAGACCTTCAATGGTCACCTAGTCCAGCCCCCCCCTGCAATAAGCAGGGACATCTTGATCTAAATCAGGTTGCCCAGAGCCACATCCAGCCTGGCCTTAAATATCGCCAGAGATGGTGTACCCACCACCACTCTGGGCAACCTGTGCCAATGTTTCACCACCCTCACTGTAAAGAATTTTTTCCTCACATCCAGTCCTAATCTCTCTTTAAGTTTAAAACCATCACCCATTGTCCCCTAAGTCAATTCATTTGGGTCAACATGATAATCTACAAACTGATACTACCATCATCTCAGTACCAAAATAACTGAATTGTCAACCTTGCATGAAAGTATCAGTAAGAAAACTCCTTCTGGAATTCAGGAACATTAGGAAAATTGTTGAATGCTACCTCCAAGTAAAACATGCTCTTTGTGCCCTAGTGCTTTACTTGATAAATTCTGACTTAACCTGCTCTAGCAGACTCACTGAGGCCTGAGAAAAGCATAGCATACACTGAAAATGTTTTCAGAGAGAAAAAGCAGTAGACAGTGCTTATACATCATCACAGGAAAGACATGAATCAGGTAAAATGTACTGGCAGCTGATAACAAATGTTCTTCCCAGTGAAAAAAATTCAAAGATCATCTGAACCCCAGCCAGAAGACTCCAGCAGCTTCTGCAGCAGCCAAGTGTTGACCACTATTTATGTGTCACACACTATGCTACATTCATGCAGCAATAGAAAATGCTGTAAGATTAGCATAATCTTCTGAGGAGAACAGGTTTTTCACTTTAAAAGATATCTGTTTGGAAAAGACTTCATTCAGCATTTACAATCCCCTGGCCTGCATTAGAAAATCTGGTTCAATCTCACATCAGGTTAAAATCTCCTAGAACAATACAAATTATCTAAAGTACTGGAAATACAGTAAACAATCCAACACACTAACCAACAATGTGCAACCAAATTACAATAGATTGAATCAACAATCTCTATTGAGTAACCAAACTTGGAAATACTCTGATGAGTAAGACAACAGAACTATACTTGATCCACAGAGCAGCCTTAAAATCTAAATTTAAACAACAGCTTCAGAGTCACCGAGCTGTATACATTGGGATACTTCTTTTAATTTAGCAATGTATTTTCAAGGCTGCAAACCATATACTATTATTCAGCTTGTCTCATGTGCTTTCACATATTGCCATTGCTCTATTCTTGTTAATGTCATTCAAAACTTCAAATTACTATACTACCAGAATTTTCTGGCTCATGATCAATGCCTACTATCCCCTTATACTTTTGCTCCTACCAGAATCCTCAAGCTCCAGATATAATTACAGTTCCCAACTTCATACTTTGAAGCAACAGGACTCTTCCTTTCCTATCCAAATATTTCCTTACAATGCCAAGAGATACTAAGAGAGTCCTAAGAGACTTTGAGATTAGAGAAACAGACCATGAGGGTGTGAAGGTAAATAACTGTTACTATCTTATCAAGACATTTGATCCCTTTAAAAATGTTTGTGCTTCCGCTTCTTTTCCCACAAGCAGAAAAATTTAAAGGTCTGGTATGTATTCTGTCTTTCCATTTGAAACCTATCTGTTTTTCCATTGCTCACTTAACTTCAGAGGTCCATCCTTTGGCATCAGGTATGTAAAGTGTAACAACACCTTATGTAGGAAAGTTTTCTAAAAGTCACTTAGGGTACTGACTTTCAAAGCAGGAGGAAAAAAAATAAATAAAAAATTAGTGAATCATATAGTTTAAGAGATTATAAACTAGATTTTAATTTCAGGGCACTTTTTAAACTTTCTTTTTCTCCAATTTTTATGAAAGATGTTATTCTTCCCCTACATATGCATGACACGTGTTGATATATATGACATTTTTTTTTATTTTCACCTCCTTTTGCTAAGGGATTTAATTTATGTCAGCAAAACAGTAGTTGGACTGATCAAGTCGACATAACTCCAAAAGGAGTCTAAAACTTTCAATGACAAAGATTTTTCTTTCCAATTCAGTTCGACTGACAAGCATATGAATATAACATAGATCTTACTTCACAATTTCATGGATATTTGTATTGCAAATTTGTCCTTATTCCATATGGGATATGATCAGAGACAGATAGAATCAACTAGGCTGGAAAAGACCTCTAAGATCATCAAGACCAACCATAACCCAAAGACTGCCAAGCACACCACTAAACCATGTCACTAAGGGCAAAATGATCTCCCCTCATGGCTGCCCCTCATGATCTCCACTCAAAGTCACACCCATCTACCCTCCATAGTGGCCTACTTTGTACAGCTGCCACCCCCCATCTACCCACACAGCCCACAGCTGCCCCTGCTCTCCCCTCCCAACTACCCCTCATGAGCACCCTTCACAAAGTCCACTCACAAGCTCCCCTCACGAACATCCCCCATGACTGCCCCCCAAAACTCCCCTCCCAAACCCCCCTCACGAGCTCCCCTCATGCCTGCCTCTCATGAACTCCCCTCATGACTGCCTCTCACGAGCTCCCCTCATGACTGCCCCTCACGAGCTCCCCTCATGACTGCCTCTCACGAGCTCCCCTCATGACTGCCCCTCACGAGCTCCCCTTACACCTGCCCCTCACGAGCTCTGCTCATGACTGCCTCTCATTAGCTCCCCTCATGAATGCCCCCCATTAGCTCCCCTCATGACTGCCCCTCACAAACTCCTCTCATGAACCCTCCTTACGCCTGCCCCTCATGAGCTCTCCTCACAAGTTCCCCTCACACCCGCCCCTCACAAGCTCACCCCACAAGCTCCCCTCACAACTGTCCCTCTCAACTGCCCCTCACAAGCTCCCCTCACGCCTGCCTCTCACAAGCTCCCCTAATGACTGCCCCTCATTAGCTCTCCTCACAAGCTCCTCTCATGACTGTCCCTCACACCTGCCCCCCATGAGCACCCCTCATGACTGCCCCTCACAACCTCCCCTAACAACTGCCCCTGTAGGCTGCTCCCCGCCCTTCATGGACATCCCTCCACTCCCCTCATGACCTTCCCTATCCAATAGTCAAAATGTTACTTATCTCACTACATGTAATGAGGGACTGAGTGGCCCACAATTAAGCCATTCCACTTGATGCCTACTCATTCAAATTGAGCAAATGACTAGTTTGCCCTCTCCAAAGTGTGTATGTCAGTGGACTTGATGGAGAATAAACTGATTTCTTTCAGGCAATGTGTCTGTGAATCGCCACTTGTTACAGCGATACAAATGACAGCATTATAAACGTCAAGTGGCTAAAAAAGTCTTAAGGGATAAACCAGAGATACTACTCAAACAAACTCACTGCTCATATTATACAAGCAAATACCTGCTTACAGATGTAATGTGAACACATACCACAGGAGGACTACATTAGCAGTATATTATGTTATTTATAACCACTCCTTAAGAGCTAAAAACAATGGCAATCCCATTACTAGTATTTATAGTAAGCATTCATGCTGTCAGATGGATTTTGAATAATGTCCCAGACTGGGACACGGTATTGTAGATCTTGGCACAGATTCCTGGAGTGATAAACTGGGAGATGTGCAGAGCAGTTAAATATATTCACAGTTCCTGCATCCAAACCTGGTTCTCAATGAGATTAACTGGCTCAGTTAGCACAACCAGTGAGGGATAAGGAAATTAAGCTTTTTAGATATCTCTTCAACATTACAGAAAATCTAGTTGCCAAATCAGATCTGGTTTCCCCTCTGCCATGCTACTTCATTTCAGCAAGAACTTTTTGTACAGCTAGGAAAATGCAAGTGGTAACAGCAAGCAAAATTGTTCTGTGACACCTACTTTGCTGATTTTGATTAAAATAAATTCCAATCTGTTTCTACCATTTGTGCAAGATAAAATGTTCAGTCATCATTTTCGAGTTTTTCACTTGTGAGTATGGAAGCTCTGACTCCTCCAGGCAGAGACAACAGCTGCCAGCAGCCGGTACCACTAGCTTTAAGTGTTTTCAGGCGTTCTTTGTGCAGCACTGCAGATTACACCCATGTAAGCAGATTAACTTGATTATTTCAGAAATATCGGATGTTACATTTCTTTATGTGGAATGAGTTTGAGAGACACTGATAGCAACCAAGAGCCAATGACACACAGTCCTTTAAATTTAAACTTAATGACTGACATCTCCATGCACAGTGATAACTGAATCCAAAGCATTTTATGTAAGTGTGGTTGTTAAAATGGAAGTATGTGTGGATTCAAACAATATTACATTGCCTTGCACAATTTTACTTCCAAAATATTTTAATGAGAGTTCCCATGATGATAATCTACCATTTCTTGACACATTACAATAGTTCAGTAAGTATTTAAAAATATAGAGGTCCAGTATTTCACTCTTTCACAGTGCCACTATGTAAAATATGTTCTAGAGTTCACCAGATACTTGGTATACCTTACTCTTCCTAAAAGGTTTATGGAACAAGATCCCATGTAGTAAAAGAGATCGTGTAAGACCAACACAGAAATGTCCCAAGAGCTATGGAAAGAAACACAGATGTATTTTTTCCATGCTGTCAGCATATATGTATGCGTGACTGAAGTATATGGTTCACCTTTACAGACAGGCAGGCTACAAGAGAATACCTCTCTGAATACCTAAACGTAGTTTCAGCTCAGTACACAGTATATGTTTTCTTATGGAGGACATCAGATATTAGTCAAAAATAGCCCAATAGCATTAAATTATAACAAATTACAATAGGAAAAATATTTTTATGTTTACAGTGCACATAGAAAGCTAGATCACATAAAAAGTGTCATAATTATGTAGTCTGTTTTACTGTATTTTCAGTAGACCCAGCTATGCTGTCATAGCATTTTTTGGGTCAAATGCTGACCCTTTACTCTTTTGGCAAAGTTGCTTAAAAAATCTTTGCTGCATGTTTTTTTCCAAATCCTGTGTCTGGATTCCAGTCCTAATGCCAGTCATTCCCCACACAATTTGGACAGTCAGGTTCAGATCCCTCTGAGATGCTTTCTGCCTTCAACTCTGATGATTTGCAATAGGAGACCCAACAGTATCCTGAATTAAAACCTTAACCCAGGTTGACCCCCAACTAGGTCAAGGAGAAGGCAGGAAGGGAAGGAGGGGATAAAGAAAACTGCTGGCTTGCTTTACAAATCTAGTTTTTTTAATCTTGCTGTTGATTCAGGCTAGTTGGCCATTTTGTATTGTGTTGAAAATAAAAACCTGAATTTCTGCTTTCTCACCTTGTTTTAATATACAAAAAAAAAAATTTCAATCTTAAAATAAATTAGGCAAAAGTAAGGTGTATTGCTGGGCATGTCTATAGTGTTAGCTTAGGTTCAAGCTAGAATGTGAATTCAATGAGCAGGACTATCCAGTACTTTTAGACACAGATTCATGCTCTACCTCAGGCCAGACTAATTAACTAAGTAGGCAGTGAAATTTTAACTCAAAGTCTCTATGCCACATGGCACAGTGAGTGACTGTCCCAGTTTTGATTGGGATAGAGTTAATTTTCTTCCCAGAAGCTGGTATAGTGCTGTGGTTTTGATTTGGTGTGAGAACAATGCTGATAACACACCGATGTTTTGTTGTTGCTAAGTAGCACTTTAAATCAAGCACTTTACAGGTTCCCATGTTCTGTAGGAGCAAGAGAAAGGGCACAAGAAGTCGGGAGGGAGCACAGCCAGGATAGTTGATCCAAACTAGCAAAAAGGATATTCCATACCATAACACATCATGCCCAGTATGATGCCCAGCTGGAGGGAATTGCCTGAACACTGCTCCAGGTTGAGCTGAGTATCGGTCAGCGGTTGCGAGCAATTGTATTGTTATTCACTTGTGTTTCTTGGGGTTTATTTCCCTTTCTCTTTTCACTTTCATTGCAATTACTCTTATTACTATTATTATATTTTAGTTTACTTTAATTATTAAGCTGTTCTTATCTCAGCCCACAGGTTTAACCTTTTTCTGATTGTCCCCATCCTACAGGGGTGCAGGGTTGGAGTGAGAGAGTGAGCTGGGGTTAAGCCACAACAGAGACTCATGGAGCTCACCCAGGAATGGCTAGCGGCCTGTATGTTTTGCTTTTCAGAAACCAAGGCTCCAGGCCTAGCTATACCCTTCCTCCAGAAATACTCTCTTTTCCAGCAGATTATCCAACCAGGAATGATTCTCATCTATACTGTGTTGCTTTAATCCCCACACTTGTTTCAGTTTTGCTCATGAGCCCTCAGCCTTCAGAAATATCATGGGACCTACCACATCCTTACTCACAGCTCCTCTGTCCAACTTGAAGCCCTAAGTACTCCTATCTCACCTGAATGAATCTTTTTCTTGCCCCATCATCTTGTGGATGTTACCTCTCCTGGTGTATATGTTTTCAAAATCCATCCTGACACAAATTCTAAATTTCATTGCTTAACCATCCCTCCCAAAAGTTTGTAACTTGACTGTTTCATTATCATTCAGTTTACCTCTCTTCCATGAACGCCTTCTGGTCCTGGTTCTCCTTTATCTCCTTTTTCACCCTAAAAGAATGAATATATATTTTATTTCATATAGAAGACAAATAATAACCCATGATGCTTTTTAACAGGAAAAATATTTTAAGATTCTTGTCTGTTCTACATGAAGTGCTACATATACATTGCTGACTGCACAAGTAAAAGTATTTCTTACATTCCAACAGAAATTCTTTCCAAATAAATGCCTCTGAAAAATGTCTAGCGCTCTGAGAGCTACAGTTATCTGTACTTCACAGCCCCACTGAACGCCCACAAAGACACACCACAGAAAAACATTCTTGGGCCTCACAGTGCTCCAAGAACATGGTGGGGAAAAAGAAATTTACACTGGGCAAGTTTTGCTTTTGAAAATCTTAACATTGACATAAGATTAATTGTTTTCATTCTGAGGCTGTTTTTTTAATCATTAATTCTTGTTATATCTTACAACAAAACTGTTCTCAGTATGATAATTTGTCTTTGACCCATACTGGTGTATGGTTCACAGATCACGTCTGTAAAATGGAAAAAACTTATGTGCTGAAAATTTTCTCACAAGTATGAATATGAACAAGATGACGAATCAAAAGAAAAAAATGGTGGAAAGTATCCTTCAGAAGCAACTATACAGGCTGGTTCCTGTGTTTGCTCATGAAACACTGACTACAAAACACAATATTCTTTCTAGGATACATAGAGGGATTCAGTTCTGTGTTATCTCTAACTACCATGCTATTCTAGTCAACATATTTCATCAAAGCAAACAAAATACACTTGCTTAAGAAGCATAATTTAAGGAGAATGCCTTCCAGAACCAACAAGTCCAAAATGCTTTATAATTGTATCTCTGTTACTAGACTGAACTTTGTTAAATTATAAAAGTAACTTAATTCTGATAAAAGCACAGGAACTTACTTTAGTAGTAGAATCAAAGCTCTTCATATCAACAAAAGAAAGCAAACAGCCCTACACTGAATTTCCATTGTCTCCAGAGGACTACATTTGTCTGAGCAGAATCTATTCATTATGTCAGCATCATTTTCATAATTCTGTTAGGTAAATGGTATTGAACTGAGATCATTCAGCTAACTCCATTTGTGACACAGCCCTGATTCAGAGCTATTCCTCCAGTGGCAAGGACAGAGGGCATTTCATCTAATAATCAGTTTTGCAAAATGAGTTTGTATGAGCTTTCCCAAACAACTGAAGCCTACTAACAAATTAGCAACAGAAAACTTTTAATTTAATAATTCCATGCACAAGATGGCTTTGCTAGTTCATTGTTTCCATGTTAATACATCTTGTTGATAAGCAAATGAATGCTACACATTAGCGTGAATCATACTGTTGTTTCCTTATGTATTGCCTGTCTTGCTTTAAAGATGCAAAAAAACCTCAAAACCAAACCAGAAATGTATGCATTTACTGCAAAGTTTAAATGACACCAAATAAGTATAAGAATTTAACACTGGTTATTTTGGTGTGATTAAACTATAAAATCCTCTTTTTTTAATGGATTAAGGCATTGGTTGAGACGGTAATTTTCTTTCACCTTTTTTTTCTTTCCAGTTTAAAAAAAGAACAAATGAACTCTCAAACTTACATTCTTTTTTTAAATAGCTCACTTAAACTTTTAGATGAAATTGCAAAAATGGCATTTTACTTTTCATCACTGTGACCCACCGGACATTTACTGCTGCTTTCAGGGTCTTTCAACCAGTTTTAGATACAGTTCTAGAATCTTGCAACAGCTACAAAGGTACAGTTGAATATTTGACATACTACCTCCTTATCCAAATCCATTTCTAGAACATTTAAAAATCATTTGAATTTACGGAACTGTTTTTTCTTCTATGATTTCTTTATCTGCTTTCATACTTTAACAGAAAATGATATAAACATGTACAGCTCTACTTCAGAATTAGTAGCATCCTGAACGTAAACGTATTATGTCATAATTTGCTATGCAACACCTACATTTACATAAAAACCTAAGTAGAGAGCCGAAGCCAAAAGATGATCCTTTCCTCACCCTTGCTTATCATTTGCCTTAATGTTAGATGGGCAGCATGTATAGAAGACTTAAATTTGAGATGTTTGTCAGTTTCTTAGACAAAATGATAAAAAGCACCCTCTGGTAATGAGCCTCAGACCTCTGCGGAGTCCCAAGAACCATGGGCATTCTGCCAGGTATGGGATTTTACTATGAATATATTCTGATTTTTTAATGGACTAATGATTTGTCCTTGCCAAGCCTGTTGTAGGGAATGTCCATGTTCTCTATGAAGCCAGAGTTCAAACAAAACAGAGGTCCAATTTTTACAATTTATTCTCATGAAAACTGAGCCAAGTCACACTCATTTCTGCCTTTGTGGAATACACTATACAGCATAATTAACAGCTTCAAATCTAGCCAATTTGCAGAATTGCTGAAGCCACTTTCCAGTGTAGAGGCTTTTAATAATCAACATTGTGGTGTACTGCATAGATTAACAAAAAAGAGAGAAAAATGTGTTAATGACTTTTATATCTAATGTTCCTGCCTGCTTGTACTATATTCAGATGAGACAGTTAAAGACTATTTCTTACAAAAACAAGATGACAAAAGTCTGGAAGTGCCTTGCTGTGATTATTTGTTAACTAAAACTAATCCAACATAAACGGAATGATTTTTATTTCTTTGGGTGCATTCTGCTTTCAATTGCCCAAGAGGAACAAGCTGATGGGATTGCCCAGTATAATCACTGGGAGGAATTCAGTCTGCTCTGTGTAATAGCAGATACGCTGAATTCAGTGGTAATTGAATTCCTTAATTAAACTCAATCCTTAATTAGAGCCAGGGCTTCATGCATGGCCTCTGCAAGATGAGAGAACCAGCCTCCAACTCACCTGTCCACTTTAAGGCTATCTCATTATCCTTGCATGCTATTTCCTGCTTATTTTAAAAGCTCAGAGTGGATACCTTATAAATGTTAACTCCTGAAATTCCACAATTTTACCCTATGTATCTTTAAGATAGCTATGTGACTGTTCTTTTAAAAATACTCTTCTGTGTTTTGCTACAGCTCTGTCTCAGCAGAATGCTCTAAGTGAATTTGCTTTTCTTGCAACCATTTCTCTATAGCTTCTTTTAAATTGAACCCAGCTTATAGTAAATCTTACTGAGTTTTCCTAAATAAGTTATGAATTTAAAAATCAGCATCTCCAGTGTAAAAAACTCCTATAGTTCTTTTTGGTTTTGCTTACAGATGTCTGGAGAGCTGGGGTTATGAAGGGCTCCATTCTAAAAATATTATTGACTGACCTGTAACCCTTTGCCAAATGTGGGATAGTATACTTCAGGAAGGCAGCAATACTCAGAGCAAAGTACCTCAGGGCTGCTGAGAAACTATACCATTTAAAATGAGTGGAAATCAAGGCAGACTAATGATTTTGTCTTAGTTCAGACTGGGAGGAAATATGCAAGGGAACAAAAGGGTGACACAAAAAGCTTATTTTCCAACAGGCTGTAACCCTGCACCACATAAGACTATCCTAACTAACCTAGCCTAACTAACCTAGCCTAACCTACACAAGGGTCAGAAAGAGACAGTATGAAACATTGCAGAAATATACTTCTATTTCTGGTAAACTAAAATCAATAGTGATGACCTGGAAGAACATCACCATGAAGCCTGTGTCTTCCCAAACCTGCCTATTTAGGATACTCAGACACAGCAAGAAAGCGAAGATCACAAAGCCTTGTAGTCACCAGGAATGCAGAAAGCTCGGTAGATACACTTAGCAAGAATCTGTGACCAAAAACTTCTGATTCTAAACTCTTGTGAAAGAGCCCCATGTGACAGGTGTCATGCCTGACCAAGCCAGATAGCATGTCAGGAGAAAGATCTTTCCTTCCTGCTTCACTTACATAGACTGAGCAATTCTGAAGATGTTCATATCAGCTAACTACTGATTAGTGTCAGTGCATCATGTTTCTAAGTTAGCTCCAAGCATTTCTTAGCCAGAGAGACTAGGCAAAAGCAAACTACTACCTCAAATGAGTCCAAAATTGTAGGCACAGAATGAGAATGGTATGAAGCCAGACCAGCCCATGGCTCCAAAACTGCACTGATTAATCGCCTTTTTCTGTCAGCAGGAACAAGGCAGCCATCCATTTTTATTCTTCAGAGAAAAACCTTAAAAAGCAAAATGACTTTGACCAGTCAGAACAGTAATTAAAAAAAAATAAATAAATCAAGTCCAATAAATGTTACAGTGTAGTGCTCTCCAAATGGAGAAATCAAATGCACAAACCCCAAATAATCCCTGTAGCACTCTGCAGAAAAGGATCTGAGGATTATCATGGATCACATAGTGAGTAGGAGTCTGTAACGCAAAGCTAGTTTTAAAAGGCTTACCCCCAATTTCCATTTGCCAAATGCAAACTGAAGTTCTGCTTCACTTGCCAATGTTAAGAACAGTGAAAAACTGCGTCTAGTTGAGAGGACCATAGTTTTCGTGGAACTTCGTCAACCTTTAGGTATCTGCTTTTCTCCACAGCGGAATGATAGGGAGCTTGAAAAAAGCAGATAGAAGGGAAGAAGGAACATATCCCACTGATACGGGAAAGAATGCTATGAATGGGACAGTAAGTTTTCCATGACAATAATACAAATAACGGGTTTAATTTGTAGCCAAAAAGATTTGGGGGATGGGAGTAGGAGGAGATGGAAAACTGGGGTTAAAAAGGCAGAAAATTAGTGCAACAATCTATTTAAGAATAGAGTGAAATCGCCTTAGCTGTAGAATTTGCTGAAGAGTTCTCTAGATAGACTTGATAATACACGTCTTTATGGGGTGAAGGAGATATAATCCTGTACACTCGTCTAGGATAACATCTCCTGTAGACTGGTCCTTGGTTCTGCTATGACTGCTCTCTCTTGGAAAATGTGACACAGTCAGATGTTAAAATAGTTTTACCTTTTCTTGGAATGATGTCCTTGTTAAGTAATAATTACAGTATTTTAGTAGGCACATAGAAT